ATCAGTTAATGAGATTTGAGAAGAAAAATGTTTGCAATGGTGTAGTTTTGGAGTCAAAGGGGTCAATAATTCCATTACCTTGGGAGCTTTTGCAGCCAGCGTTGCGAATAGTGGGGCATTGTCTGTTGGCCCCATTGAATTCTCAGGACATTAAGGACGCGGCTTCTGTTGCAGTGAAGCGATTGTATGCTCGGGCATCTCATGATTTGGTGCCACAGGCGATTTTAGCTACTCAGAGCCTAATTCAGCTAGATAAGAGGGCACGGGAGTCTGCCAAGGCTACTGCGGCTGCTAATTCGTCTTCAAACGCTAACACCCCAAGCAAAGCTAAGAACCCCGAAGTACTTTTGGTCTCAAAATGAGTAAGTGGTTGGTTGGTTTGTATTCTATTTGGTTTTGCAAATTGCAGGTACTGGATGTTGTATAGCTATATATTCGACAGTTAGCAGTTGCTATAGGTTACTGTTTTATGCATGTCAATCGGTTTTGTTTGTAGATCCTAGTGTCATGTAACTTCTAATTAAAGGTTTGCTTGTGGCTAGTTTAATTTATGAACTATGTCCTTGTGTATTTTCTTCCAAGTGTTTCTTTAGTAATTATTGTTTTTCATTCGTCTTGTACTCGCAAAACATGATGAAAGAAAGTTACAGATTTATGGTAATTTATACTGTTTGCCATTTACTTGTGTGTTGTGTTTGCATTCTGGTTTTGTCTTGTCATTGCAATGCATTCTGCAAATTTTCTGAGTGAATGTAGCTTTGTACAATTGATGATCATTTGCTTGTAATTGAGCTTTATATCATATGATTCTGTTATGCTCTATTTACTTTGTTATTTGTTGTTCATTTCACTGATCCCGTATTTTTGTGCCTTCTGATCTTTGTTTGAAATTTCAGTAATTGTATATATAGTATGCGTTTTATAGTATTAGTTCATATTGGTTTGTCTGTGTAATCATTGGGAATCCATGAACAAGTGGTGTCTAGATATGTTTGTCCGTAGTATTTGTTCATTTTACCACTCAGTTTGATAGTTGGGCATTGCTCCTGTGACTCCAAAGTCCTTTTAGCTCTATATCAATTTCATTTTATGATTATTCTTAGAGTGCCCAAGAGTAAAATTTCTCTGTTTTTCTGATCAGCCATTGTTTTGTTTCCTACTTGAAGCATTTTTTTTGGCTTGTGCTTGGTAAGGGATTACGGTTCTACATCAACTGGCTCCTAGGTTTAACCATCTCCATTATTGGCCACATTTTGCTGATCTAAATAAGTTCTGTTTTGTACGTACACTTTCAACTTTGTTTTGGACTGAGAAAATTATCCTACTTCTTTTTGTCTGTCAATATACTGGGGTAAGTATCTGTAGGTGATGTAGGGTTTAGTAAATGCAATTCCCTATTTTTGGGATGGAGGGTCCAGTGAAGCTTTATTTTTATTTTTTTTGGGTTTTTTCTGTGGGACGCATGTGAAGTAGATTGTTAGGAGTGCTGAGAGTTAGTTGGATAGATGCATATTTTTACAATAATGCTTTTGATTCGGGTGATATATGGTGTCCTTATCTGAGGAAAAGGGTGGTTTGGGTTTGGCAATTTGATTAAAAGAAATGAGGTACCACTTGGGAAATGGTTGTGGAAATTTCGCTTGACAAGGTGATGCAGGACGCATAGGACCTAAATTTATTAGTTTCCTAATATATTTGTTAGTTTCCTAGATTCTCTAGTTTTCCAAATTCTAGTAGGATTTCTACTTTTCCAGATTTCCAGATTTCTAGTTTTAAGTTTCCTATTTTATTTGGGTTAGGATTTCTGTTTAAGCAAGGGATTTCTATCCTATTATGTCTAGGTTTTAGTTTGCTATAAATACCCCTATGTAGTTCTTTAAAATTCAGATTTGAATGTTGAGTAAACCTTTTCCTAGAACTCTCTGATTTCGTCCCTTCGATCTATATTTCTTCTCCTCGATCTCCGATATTCTTCTTTGTTCTACTGTTTCTGTCCTTTATCTCGTCTTCTCGATCTCTGTTTCTTCTCCTCGGTCTCTTATATTCTTCTCTGTTCTATTTTTTAAGTACTTAATCTAACACCTACGGGCTGTACTACATCACAAGGATTCTTCTCTGTCCTCGCAAGAAAATATTAGACGTTGATGGTTTTGTCAGAGCCCTGAGATGTTGCCAATGGAAAGACAGTTCTATCCATCCTTTCATTCTCGTCTTGCCAGCGTTTTTTGGTGTGAAATGGGGAAAAGGTCAATCTTTTGGGAGTGATTTGGGAAACGCCTTTTTGTATTTCTTTCCCTCACTTATGTAACTTTCCGGCCTATATCTATGGCTAGAATGTTTGTAAGTTATTTTCTTCCAGTAAGTTGGGATTTTGGTTTCTGTAGAAATCTAGGGAATTCTCTTGCCATTCCTCTGCTGCAGAGTTATGATACAAGTTCTTGCTTGGATTAGGTTCAACACCTATTATATGGTTTAGGGGAGAAGCCTACGGTTCGTCTTTCTACCTGATGGGGTACTGTGAGTAGAAAAAGTGTTTAGAGAGCTGATCATTTTTTTCTTCATTGCCCTACTGCATTAAGTTTTATGGTGGTCATTGTTTAGGTAATTAGACCCTACCAGGAAAAAGTAGATATTGTTTAGGTAAACTGATTTGCTTTAGCTGATTCCCAGCATATTCGTAGCGCTGAGAGAGCTGATCATTTTTTTCTTCATTGCCCTACTACATTAAATTTTATGGTGGTCATTGTTTAGGTAATAAGACCCTTACCAGAAACAAATAGATATTTTTTTATTTTTTTTTGGTCTGAACAAATAGATATTGTTTAGGTAAGCTGATTTGCATTAGATGATTCCAGCACGTGCACCTCGGTTTTTTATGAGCACAAGGTATTTGCGGTGGGTGGGAATCTGCTGGCTTTCTTTTCGGTAGTGGATTGAAAATAAAATAGGAAGGATCTCAAAACCTGTTTACGGCTTTGGGTTTCTTCCTAGTTCCCATTACCATGTTTTTCTATTTCTGCGGTGATGTAGGATATGGGGAATTGAGTATTTAGGTAGTTTAGCGGAAGCAAAAACAATGGAAAACAGAAAATAGAATGAACAAGGATAGGTCTGGAATCACTCTAGGGGTTTGGCTTAAGAACTACATGGGGGGTATTTATTGCAAACTAAAATCTTGAGACAATAGGATAAAAATCCCTTACTAAAATAGAAATCCTAATCCACTGAGGAACTAATTCAAATAAACTAGGAAACTTAAATAAAATCCTACTAAAACACTCGACCCCAAAACCTCATAAAAAAAAGCCCAAAACCCTCAATAGGGCATCAAAGTAATTTAATAATCAAAATTAAATTCAATAGGACCAGTTAATCATTTTTTGGGTTTGTTTATAGAAATTAAATGGTATATGGTTTATTTATAGTTTTAGTGCTAAGAATGGGTATATGACTAAATATCTCTAAAGGTTATTTGCGGGGAGAGAAATTCTATAGGTACACTATGTGAACAAAGTTTAGTTAATAAGTTGGAACCAAATAGTCCTGCATTTCTAGAAAATACCTGGTTTTACCTGGCTGCGAGACTCAAGTAGTTGTGAACTTTTTCTATTTGACTGTAACACCACCATGCGGTGCGATCGTAGAACTAATGCTTGGTTAAGGAAAGGGAAAACTATAGATTTATGCCGCTATATTTTCTAATTAATTAACGAATAAAGCAGTCACTTGAAGTGACATAAGAAACCAAAAATAAAGATTTAGAAGGGAAACAATATCAGATGGTCACCAGTTTGTAAATATACGACCTAATAACTACTACTAATATTCAAAGCAGCCACAAGCGTAGTCCATCCTTTATATAAATCTAATGTGATCTCCATCTCCACCAACGGGGTCTAGTACAGTAAAAAAGGGTTTGGACTTGCAGACCATTGGCCTCAAGTTAAAACCTCCATGTACTTAATCACTTGTTTACTTGAACTTTTATTCTAAAATTCTTGTTCTTCATCATAGACTTGAGTTGCGAGTGATTGTTATTTGACATGGAATGTGTGTGTTTGACATAGCAGCATATCTCTTTTAAGTATTTCGCGATTAAGAGCTGTGAACTGAATTGCAAAGCTTGGACATAGCCTGTGATTGATTTACCATGAATTTCCTGTTCTTGGTTGCTTACTTGATTTCTAAATATTTTATTTTATGCCTTAACTAGGATGACTAAAGTATCTAGGAATAACTGGCTGTGTGACATGTACTTGAGAGAACATGACAACTTATGTGCGATAACTCAAATATTTGTCTGGAAATCTTCCTCATTCATATGGTAATCTATAAATTAACAATTAGAAACTATGGTTAGGAATGGTAGTGGTGGATTCTAAGTTTTAGTGTTTCATCATATTGGTTTCTTTATAATACATATTTGAAAAAAATAGACTTGGTTGATTATTTGTTTACAATTTTAGTTGATTCATTCTATAATATTCAAATCAGTTAAGGCTCTTTTGGTTCACAGATTGAACTTCTTGGGAATGAAATTTCCGTGTCTAATCCCACGAGATGAGAATAGAAGATGTTTGTTCTCATGTTTGGGAATGCTGGGAAATGAGGACTAGGAAGGTCCATTATCTCCCATTATGTGTTTGGTTTAGTGTATTAGTGAAGAAAGTTAAGGTTCCATCCCAAAACTAATTGGCAATGGGGGGAGTAGCCCAACTCCTTATAAATTCAGGCTTGGTCCCTTAACTTTTCAATGTGGGACAAATACTCTCAATACGCCCCCGCACGTGTGGCGAATTTTCAAGCCTAACACGTGGACAACACATATTGGGTGACGTGGGAGCACGTGTGGCCGTTAGGCCCAACACGTGAAGCCTTACTCTGATACCATGAAAGAAGTTGCGGTTCCACCCCAAAACCAATTGGCCAATGGGGGGAGTAGCCCAACTCCTTATAAACCTAGGTTTTGGTCCCTTAACTTTTCAATGTGGGACAAATACTCTCAACAATTAGGAATGAAATTTTTTTAGTTTTCCAACAATACCTTTGATTTTTTATTATTAAAAGTTAATATTATGAAGAGGTTTTTTTAGGCTCAATATTCAAAAATTATAACAGGACTAAGTTAGTCCAAAAAAACTGAATTAAATGTGTTCAAGATCGAACAATCCATAATTAACGATAGTCCGACTGTCCATCAAATAATCAAATCTAGCCAATTCAGGTATATCGTAGTGCTTGAGACGATGTGCGGATAATTTTGGGTCTACAACAGATCACCAATTGCCGGCTAACGCGCAGCCACCGACGACAGTGGTTCATGGAATTTTCCAACGACTGTGAAACTCAAAATCAACGGTCGACACTTATGCCAAAAGTTCAAGCACGATGATAGGAGAAGATTTTGTATTGGATCGAAGTGATGGCAGGATTGGCCGGAAAAGCCTCGGTGGCCTTGAAACTTCTCGACTACGATTCTCTGTCGACAATGAGTCAACGACGGTAAGGCTAGGTGAGTTCAACTCCTTAGAGGATGGGGAACAACACCCACCCAACTTGACTGATGAGTATATTTTATATTATATATTTAACCCTATTCTTAGTATATTTTGGTTAACATTTTGGAAGAATTTTAATACTTTGAATTATATTTCCAATATAGGACTTTCGACTTCCTCTGGAGCAAAACATAATCAAATGGACGAATTTTGGAGTAATTCCAGTTGGAGGACATTCGTGAGTCATGTAGCTTGGTCGTATTAAAATTTCATATTTTTCTACCAAGCGGTTATTTTCTGGCAATAAAATAAAGGAGCAGTGCGCGGTGCTGGAATAGTGACGTTTTGGGCTTTTATTGCGTTTTGGAGCCCAAGATGACCCCAGATGGGTTCGTGGCCTCTGGAGAAGTGTTCATAACGTTTTTATCTTTAAAACAAACTATCTTGGCCCGGATTTGGAGGAGATTTGAGCCCAAAACGTGGCTGGGCAGATTATCCTAATCCAATTTGGACTTTATATCCTAGTATTATTTTATTTTAATTAATTTCCTTGTGGGGATAGAAAAGCTGGACAGCTTGTTTGTAGGGGGTATTTAAGTTCTTTTTCACAGCAATTTTTGGGACTCCCTTTTTGGCTTTTGAACGTGACATTGTGGAGAGCAATTGCTAGGGTTTTGGAGTTTTTGCGACTTTAAGGTGTTTTCATTCTTTTTCTTCTTAATAATATTTTCCATGATTTCAGTTATGAATATGCGTAACTAATTTTCTTTTGCTAGGGCGAAGCCTTGAACCTTAGCATGAATATGTAATTTTTATTTAATTGCTTATGATTGATTGCATGCATACTTTGAATTGTTAATCACTATTTTAAACTATCTAATTGTCTTAATGCCTGATCACTATTAGGATCTTTAGAAAAGTAATTGGATGCAATTTTGGTCGGAAGGTTCCCTAAAATTGACGATGGCTTCTTGTGATTAATAGTTGTAATCTCACTTAAGATGAACACCACGTCTTAAGGGTTGCATGGTTTTTCAAAGGATTTTCACAAAACATAATGAGTCTTTCATGTTCAGATTTGATCCGAACATCCGGACGGGTTGCATGTTGGATATACGTTCTATGTTGGAGGTTCCAAGTAGAATATAAATTAGGAAAACCTAACCTTCAAAGTGGCATGTGCAAATCAAAAGTAATTGGTAAAATTTCATAGGATTGCTAGGTGATGGTGAAACCCTGGTGCTTTTATAAATTGGTATTTAAAACTTTTTTCTTCAATCGTAATTGTTTTTTATTAAAATTTGTTTTTAGTATCAAACAATTTCATAATCATCTTTCTCAACTTTCAATTTTAGGTAGTTAATTGGAAATTGTTTTCACATAAATTGCTAAACAGTCCTTGAGGAGAACGACCTTGCATGAGCATCTATACTACAATAGCCTTGTATTCTTGCAAGTATTTTATGTGATTTTAACCTTATTTGTGTGAATGGTAAAAATCGTATCATTACCCAATGATGGTGGCCGGAAATGACAGCGGTGCCAACTCACGAAGGCATCTAGCTACTTTTTTCATAATTTTTTCAACTTGAATCGGCGTCATTTGGTAGTTAATCAAAGAAGGGATTGTGGGTAAAGTGTAGGGCTGCCTGACAGGAACAAAACCCGACCAAAATTGTGGCCAAAGGTTGTCGCTGGGAAGTCAAACTGCTGTGGGTTTCACTGTGCAGCCATCAAGTGAGGAATAGAGAGAAGGGAGGGGAAAGAGATGGAGAGAATTGTCAAATCATGCTAAAATTTCAAAATTTAAAAGAAAATTTACATAGACTTTAAAGAGGTCATCCCCTTGTTGAACCAAATTTAGGCATCAACACATTGTTCATGAATCTATTATGGAGCCATTTCAATTCCCACTTTCATATTGAATGTCATTTATTCACTATCGCTTTAACAATTAATATTGAATGGATATTAGTACTGAGCTGGCTTTGCATGGTTTTGGTTACCATCATATATTAATTGGTTACACTCTTTTATTTTTATTTTATTTTAGAAAAGCGATAGTAATTTATTGATAAAACAAAATTAAGTACAAAGCATCCATAGTGCCAAATATGAGTACAACATGTCCAATGACCAAACACAAAAATAATTTGGTTTGGTCTAAAGTGAATTACGCTTAAAAATGGAATGGCTTAAAACTCCGATTTGGCAGACAAAAGCACTTGTACTCAAACTTACAATACATATCAACTGCGCAATGGAAGAAACCGCAAATCTGTATCACAAAGTCGAAAATTAAAATACAAACTTCAAAAAACTCTTAATAAGTTTCTGAGAATTATTAGACTACAACAAACAAAGAAACAAGAACACCGCTCCACATTCTCTCCGGCAAACTGAAGGACTCATAGCAGCATACCGACTAAACATATAGTGCTGCATCAGCTAAACCCGATCCAACACAACCCATCAACTTTCATTTTTCCAGCTCCAAATCAAGCGGCAACTACATCATGGTGACTACGTTGATTTGTAGTGACTGCTTCAACAACACAACAAAACAAAAGAAGCTGGGTCAGCAACTACCACAACCCATCCATCCTAGCAACAACAAAACTAGTAACACAATTAAGTAAAAGATCGAGCACTAAGACCCTACAACAAAAACACACAAAACAAACAAACTCCAAGATCCAAACAGATCTGGGCATGTATTTTTTGGAAGAAAAAAAAAATTTATTTTGTAAATAGTACCTATATTTTATTTTGTAAATAATATATCTATATTTTTATAATTATGTACCTAATTTTAATTTATGAAAAATGTACAGAAATGTCAATTGTGAAAGTAACTGAATTTTTTTTGTAAATAATGTACCGATATTTATATTATTTTTATAGGTAAATTATTTATGGAATAATTAATTTAGGATTTTTTTTTTCATTCAAAAAATTTAAGAAATTGCCAATGGGTTAGAGGGAGTGGCAACCAAAAGAAATGAGGTGATTGATATGCTATTAATGGGGAGTACTAATTATTGTTAATGAAATGCTTGAAAATAAATATGAAGGTGTAGATGGCATGTATTGTAATTTAGTTAATAATACTAGGGCAAATCTATCTTACATGACAACCTATTTTAAATTTGGATTTTAAGTAAAGATTTCAAAGTATATGGGTATGTGTCTATGGTATAGTAGTTGTAAGGGCCTATGTTGGAACAAACCTATATACAAACCCAATGATCAATTAAGATCCTGAAAACTAGAGCTATACAAGAAATTACGTAATTACACTCCTATAAGAAGAAAAACAATTAAGTAATTATATAAAAGTCAAAAGATGAATTTACTCAATCACTTTAATCATCCGATTTTCTTTCCTCAACAAAGAAAAAGAGAAGAATGAATGAATGAATGAATGAAAGAAAGAAAGATGAATGCATGAATGTACCAACCAGCTATCTTGATCGGAGGCTACTTAATTGTGGATGAAAAAGGCTTTTCCATATACATGTTGTGTCAATTGTTACCCATTAATTGCTAATGAAAAAGACTAAAAAAAAGAAAGAAACAAGCATTCATCGATAATTGGACCCCTCATGAAAAATATGAATTTTAAAATAAAAGAACTTACATGTAATGTAACGGAGATACACTGTTTTGCTATCTCCAGCCAATAACACAATGACATGTGAAAAATTTATCCTACGTGTCGTTGCGTTATTGACTGGTATAACAAAAAGTGATATCCCGTTACATGAGAGTTTAAATTTAACTATAAATTAATCCATATAAATGATTTGATTTGAACCATGTTCACTTGATTCCCCCCAACCACTCCTGTACAAATCACAAAATATGGCTTTATCACCACCGTTATTGATTCCCCATTCTGTCCCTGTTTCCAGTCCTTGTCTTTCCTTACTTTGTCTTAATAATCAATTGACATGGGGCCGTTTTCCAAGTTAATAACAATAATAACTCAGTATTATAATTTTTTTCTTTTTGTTTTTTGTTTTTAGTTTCAATCATGTCAAAGGACAATGGGATCTGTAAAACTATATATAAAGAGAGATGGAGAAGATGAAGACTATAAACACTACATATGGAGTCTTCAGCAACTGATTCAAGTGGTGGCCATGACCAAATTGTCTCCAAAAAATGTAACTCTTTATTTCCAGCCTTGAACAAGTATCGATTTTCTTCTCGACGGACACCATCATCTTCTTCCTCCTCCTCATCATCCTTCTCCTCGTGTTCTTCATCTTTTTTATCATCGTCATCCTGTAATCCTGATCATCATGATTCTTCTCCTCTTAGTCAGGGCAACCCACTTCGATTTTCCGGCGTCCCATTTTCTTGGGAACATTTTCCCGGAATCCCAAAGAAACTAAACAGCAGCAAGAAGGAATCATATTCCTCATTGAAGCGTCTCCCACTGCCTCCTCCCACCACTACTACTACAAGTACACAAAAACCCTCGAAAAAGTTCATCTTCGATGACATTGGGGTCAATGTGAGGCACAAAAACCCGAAGGGACGTTCTAGTAATTTCGCAAAGGATCCTTTCTTAGCTGCATTGGTTGAGTGTTCTAAAGATGCTCATGATGACGATGATGATGAAGAAGAAGAAGAATCAAATGCTAGCTTTTCAAGTGGTGCCAAGGTCTCAAGGAGTTCAAGTGAGAGGTTCGGATTTGTCAATCTTTATACATCTTGTAAGAGAACTTGTGCAGTTTCTGAATCCATCATAGATCGTCCAAGGCCAAGTAGAACTTCTTATGATCCGATCAATCGCCTATTCCGATAAGTTTATGATCCTCACAAGTTTAATTTCCCTTTTATTTTTTTTATATAAAAGTTTCTTTGGCCTTTGGTAGTGTGTTACCAAGTGCCGTATAAAATATATGCCTATTTGCTGTAATTCATGTGATGTTTGTGGAAGTATGAGTGAAATTTACAAGACCCCATGTGGGAGCAGCAGGGTTTTTGTCCACAGAGTGAAATTTAAATTATTTTTCTGGGAGACGACACTCTTATTATACAAGTTATATGGGGGTGTATGGAGAATTGGGGACCTGGCAAACAGGTTGTTGACCTACAATGCTTCGTGCTCTGCCCTTTGTCTCTTTGTTTATTTTTTTCAAAATTTTAGATGTTAATTTTATTTTTTTATACAAATGATAGTAAGAAAAGGGGGAATCGAACTTAATTAGATTTTGACTGAATAAATAGGGATCAATTTATAGACATTTTGATTGCAGTAGAGAATCCAATCCAGTATGAATGTTGTTTTTGTTCACTATGTACTGACTAAATTTGTACTAGCGCAATCAATCGATGCACGGAGACATCAACTGCAAGGATAAATACTTTTAACTATTTAAGCTACAAACGAGTTGTAAATTTTTAGTTCTTTATTTGTAAGTTGAGGTGGTGGTAGGGGATGAATACCCTTGCTTTTAAGGGCACTCCCTTATGATCCAAGGCATGTCAGAGTTCCATGACTTTTTGTTTTTCTATTTTTATCTCTTCTTTTGGTCAGTAACTTTTTGTTTGCAAACTGATGTTTCTAAAGGCTTCAAAAGATAATATATTTTATATTTTTTAGTGCATCAAAAGAAAATCTATTTTTATTTTATACCACAAACCAACCACGTGGGTATCCTCATAATTATCAGGATTACTGGGCCACTACAATCGTTCGATCGACAGTAGGATGGTTCTGCTCTTAAATTCATGTTGCTGAGAACAAAAAAAACTGAGGCCCTACATATTTCTTAGCCAAGATACACTTTAGTCATACCAAAACTACGTTGCTCCATTTTAATTTTAAATCTTATTTACTTGTTGTCTAATTAGAGTTTTTGGATCGAGTTCCCTTTCACTCTTGTGTCTGAGTTTACAACACTATAGGTTCCAAAATACTTTGAAATAGTTGAAGCCTTAGGGAGTGCTTCGGTTATCTTCAATGGTTCCTTGAGATGTTAATGGGATGATAATTTTATCTTTATAGATGAATTTGATAGAGAATAGTAGTGGGACAAAATCTAAGTACACTACAGGTGTTGCTGATAATCATAGGTGTTGGAAGGACGTTGTTTGAAAATACATCATGAGTAGACAACCATTATAACCTGCACGTAGGGAGGCGTCTACGGCTTTAAAACAGCAACTACATCCCTCTCTTGATATCACATGCCAGATGTTACTAACTCTTTTCCTATACATTTACTGTACTAATTATTGTGTATGATAGATATTAACAGTGTATTATTGAATTCTTTGAATTTATATGAGTTTGTGTAAGTACAATTATTAAAAATTTCCAACTGGTCAAACATAAAGGTCAAAGGTTTTGTCTATTCTAGTAACTCATTTAACTTGGTAAATTGGATTTTTAAAGGGTTTTTTTTTTTTTTTTTTGGTCAAGGGAACTGTATTCATTAATAGTGGGAAACATTGCAAATTGAGGAAACTCATTTCAAATGCAGCCCAACACCAACAAATAAAGCAGGCCCAGAGAAACATAACCAAATAAACACAAAAGCCCATACAACATTAAACAAAGAAACCCTAGATCTAGAACACAGGAGCAGCCGCACATAGCATGCCAACAACCCCACCAGAGCAGATCCACCACCACCACCAAGGAGGAGTAACTGATACCAGGGGGTATCAAAGAGGCCAACGGAAGATGGGGGTGAGCATGCCACCCACACGGAAGCGCTCCCATAATCCAAGAGTCAAGTGCAGTATGCACTTTAATCGCAGCCACAGACCACCACACGCCATCGAGGAAGAACAACGAGAGCGGTGGATGCGGAACCGAGGAGCAAACGGTGGTGGTTGAGAACTGGCGACCAGACGAAGTCGCTGGCCATGTGTGGACGGCTACATAACAGAGAAGAGATGAGGGGAGTATAGATGTAAGAAGCGGAGGGTGAAAAGTGAAGGTGGCTGGGGAAGAAAGGAAAGGGAGATATGGGAGATAAAGGGTCTCACAGAGTGGGGCTTACCTTAGGGAAAAACAGAGAAAAACAAAAGGAAACCGAAGTAGAGGCAAGGAGGCCCAGATCTGAGACAGAGCTCAGGGAAAAAACACCCATTTCGGGTGGTGAGAAGCCAGGGACTCTCAAAATGGAGGAGGAGGAAGAGAGCTCTCTAGAGAGCTCTCGGCTGTTCTTTTTGGATTTTTAAAGGTTTTAGTTTGAATTTTCGGCAAGCTGGTTTGATCTCAATAAAACAGGTGCTGGGATTTTTTTCACTTGCTCACCCAAGTGATTGGGCTCAAGAAAGTGGGCTTAAGTTTTGGTACCCCCAAGCAGCTCTAAATCTCCACCAAAAGCAATTAGTCAATTAGTCAAGTAAATTGTCTTAAGGACCATATTACAAGCGTTCACTTTGACCAATTTTCATGTGTTTCTAATCTAATTCACAATTTTCATGTGTTTCTAATCTAATTCATACGTACAATTATAATGTTTTTCAAGTTTTGAGTTTCATCCGAAAGCAATTTGTCAAATAAGTGAATCACATTAAGTTCGTTCGCTAAACCGGAGTGATAGGTACACTGCATAATTTCTTTGATTGGATTTCAATAACTATTTGTTTCAGTCATGTCATATGCATTAAATTTGTATAGTTAATTGCATGTGTATTTCTAATTTTTTATTTTTGGTTTAAAAAATGAAGTTTTAGCCTTTTTATTTTATTTTTTGAAATAGTAGTAAAGATCAATAGTGAGTCAACTTTGACGTTGCAAAGGCCCACTGAATTAGTTTTTGGATCTTGAGGTCGAATAGGAGTGGGACAAATCCACCTTGATCCATTGTACCAAATCTCACCATTGTATAAAAAGGCCTAACGTAAGGGAAAAAAGAAAACAAAAGATAGTGGTGGGGAAATAAAGAAAAAGAAACTGGAAGGCTGAGTTCTGAAAGTGAGTGGAAGGGCTATCACGTGCCACAAGCGTTGCGCGCTCGACACATGTCCACGAGCAAACCTCACCACAACCGCGTCCACTGAGAATTGTATTCAAAGGGAAAGTCATGCTAATAAGTGGTGTGCTGATCAAATTTGGTTGCAGCAGCAAAAGCAAGAAGAAAAAAAAAGTAATTATATTCAAAAGACGATGACGTGTACCATCTTGTAAAACTAAGGTGCCGCCCCGAAAGGCCTGAATATCTCCCCGGTCATGCGGTGTGCTTTTTGTTGTGTAGCACCCTGTTTCTCGCTCTGCCTCTAAATCACCTAACATTTCATATTTCATGTTTTTATACTTGAAAGAAGTATGTCATTACTAGCTAGCTGTTGTTTTAGAATATGGCCATCCGTTTGTTTATCACTTCCTTTCTATTTATAGATTTCTCAACTACGTTATTTGAGAAACACTTCTCGCGGTACATTCCAAATTTTATTTTAATAATCTCAACCGCCTTTTTCATTTTAAGCTTTCAAATATAAATCACTTATGTAAAACTTAAACAACCTGAAAACAACCAAGGTGGTTGGTGTGAGTGGTTCGGCACTCTCATTCCTTAAGAGAGGTCAGGGGTTCGATCCCTGCTCTCGTACGGAGTCACCACTTTGGCCAACACTTTACCCCTTACAGGCCGACCCGGTGTGAGTGGTGATTAGTCTGGGTTGTGGTTAAGGCTTAAAGGTGCCACCAATAGTTGGGGCCCATTCAGGACCACCTCATGGTTCATACCCAAAAAAAAAACAACCTGAAAACAACTAAAACATCTAATTGAGACGAACAAAATATATGAAAACGATTCTTTAAGAAAATAATAAAATAACAACGATTTTATGAAGCAGTCAAATGAAATTTTTTTTTTGGGTCGAAATCTAAACTCAAGTAATTTGTTTACAAAGATGGTCATTAAAATTAGGATTGACAATGAGTCGTGTCGTGTTAGGATCATATACGTGTCAAGAATGCTCACACAAACTCGACCTATTTAATAAACGTGTCGTGTCGAGTTGACCCACTAATTTCTTGTGTGGGTTTCAAGTCGTGCATCGGGTTGACACACTAAGTGGTAGCAACTACAAGATATTTAAAAAAAAAAATTGAAGAATAAACAAAGAAACGAGTTAGTGGGTTACATAGGTATTTTAGTAGGTTAATATATATTTTAGCGGATTGGAGGGTTGACCAGCCATGACTCATTTTGTTAAACAGGTTATATAGATATTTTAGAGGGTTGACTCGAAACCCACCAGTTTATTAAGCGGGTCATGGAGAGTTTACCCGAAAATGACTTGAAAATTTAATCGTGCGAGTTGACCGGCTAATTTTCCATGCGGGTTTCGAGTCGTGTCAGAAATTGCCACCCCTAATTAAAATACATACAGAATTGGCCATAAAACCCTCAATGTATGAGAGAGACCCTTGTAGGGCCCACCACACATTGTTTTTCAAATGATCTAAACGATAACTTTTAGATATTCCCTCAAAGATCATATATGCAAAAAATCACTTGAATCCGAAACCATTTGACCAGTCAATTAGATTATTATTTTTTTAGTCTTTTCTTGAAACACTGTGTTCGTCAATTTTGTTGCTTGCAAATGGATACCTTAATGATTTTCAATTTTTTCAAATTTTTTGCAAGTATGATATATGAATAAAGACTTGAAAAATAGAAGATTTGGATCATTAAAAAAAAATTCATAAGGTATCCTAAAAGGTGTCCTTCAAATAAAATTATTTGAGAAATCCCTTAATAGAAAGGGACTATATATATGCACACATCATCACTAACTTATGACCAGAGTGTTTAAATATGGCCATGCGTTTGTATTTGGGGATGAATATATATATATAGTTAGGCATGTCCTGTTGTAGTAAATGCTCCACCCCTCCCTCCATTATGATCCTAATTTTTTCTTTCGCTCTTCTATTTGAGAAATTATAGAATATTACGATAGTATGACTATGTAATTACTATCGTAGTATCTATAATTTCTCCTATGCAAGAAACAAAATTATTTTGGAATGAGAGAATGGACAAAGGTAGAAGAGATGGAAGAGAAGACAGAGACTAATTACTGTTACTATTACTTGTACAC